ATATATATATGTATAATACATACATATGTTAAAAAATCTTTGTAAGTTTAAACTAACAGTTCTCTAACAAGAATTACGAAATACGAACGAATTATATATACATTTATTATTTCTTGTTAGAAATATTTCAAATGAAATATATATCAAGTATTAATGTGTGTATGTGTTTTACCCCAAAGTGTATTTAAAAATAATAATTAGTCTCGCAATAAGGTATATGTGTGTTCAATTAATTTGAAATGCATTTATAAAATGCATTTTAGTGTTCATCATCTCGAATACTATTTAGAAAAATTCATTATTTAATATTTATTATATTTATTTTCACTTAAATGTGCAAATTCTGTTACCAATTGTGTTAACAATTATTAATCGCAGTTGAACAAAGTGTAATAATTTAATTTGGGAAACATTTAACGATAAATAATTCGTAAATCATGATCGAGCTTGACTTTCGAATAAGGAAATAAAAAATGGGGGAAAGAAATAATCCCCCATGAGAAGATAAGAACGTCTGATAATGTTTCGATGCGAATAAAAAAAAAAAAAAGGAAGAGAACATATCGAAGTTTAAAATCCGCATTACCTAGATCGTAACCATAATTGTCAGTAGTATCGTCATTATCGGCTCCACCCATCCTTCTTCCTCTTCCACCATTATTGACTTGAAAGTTTACAGAGCGTATCGAAATCACTCCTCGTTGTCGTCGTTTGTCATCGAATTTATGGCAACTAATTGTAAAGATTTTCTCCTAATTATCTTGGCCTTAATAATCATAAAGATCTCATTCGTACGAAATCTTGTTTTAATAAAATATTTATGCATAATTTTTATTATCTCGTATAATATGAGCATATCGTATTTACAACTATCCTTTCCGTATTTATTTATTTATAATTATAATTATTTTTATTTTAATATATTATATATATTAATCATAAAGATTCTCATTCGTACGAAACTTTGTTTTAATAAAATATTTATGCATAATTTTTATTATTTCATATAATATGAGTATATGGTTTCATCGTACAAACTTACAACTATCCTTTCTCGTATCGTATTTATTTATAATTATATTTATTTTTATTTTAATATATTTTATACATATTGAAAAAATTATTTTCTAATATTTCCTATCAATAATAAACGTAATTACAAATATATTTTAAAAAAGAAACAAATTAAGAACAAACACACACAGGAGCAACATATTAATAAATTTATTCGAAACGATATAAAACCTATCATAATTATTATAACTTTTTTTTTCTTTCCCATCTTAAGACCGGCTTCTCGAAAGTTAAAAAAAATAAAATAATAAAAAAAGGGAGAATTTCTTCTTAAAATGAATACTTTGTTGTTGGATTCATGTGTGTGATCACATGCGTAAAACGTTTAATGAAACGTGTCGCGTGAGCACTGAGCCAAACCACAACATCTGGCGACAAGTGTCACGTTGACGTTATCTTTCGACATATCAAAACCAGAAAATGACTCGACGACCTCGATCCTCGATCGTCGAGTTAAAAGATTACACATACACACACACACAGAAAAAGAGAGAAATGCATACTTGATTATCTTTGCTTGATTATCATTGAACTAACGTCATTTAACTGACCCTTCTCTTATATTATTCAGTTTCTATAATACTTTTTTAACACTAGATACTACTGTTACGAGTTAATTTCATTTAATTTATCATTTGTTTTTTAATCGTACATTTTATTTAAACAAATTTAAATGATTTTAACATAATATGTTAACCCTCTATGGGCCGAATTTTTGTTTTAAATCCAAAAAAATTGGTGGAACAAAAAATCAGCAATTATAAACCTATATATGCAAATGAGAACAAAAAATTTCGGTTCAAACAATTTTATTGCAGTAATTACACTATGTGACTTTCAAGTCACAGCGGCCTATAATGTTTGAAACCGTGTCTATGAAAACTTAAGCGTGGAATGCCACAAAACAGTTTGCACTTGGCGTTAAACATAAATGGACATTGCATTTGGAACATTTAATTTTTAAAAAAATTAAATTGACATTTAATTTTGTCAAAGGATTCACGATCGGTGTAAACTTAGTAAAAATCATCTATTTTTTCTATGAAAATCTATCTTTATAGTTCTTCTGCAATAAAACTGATAAATATGGTCAGGAATTGTTCGCTGCAACAAATTCTGCAACTTGTTCCGACATTTGACGGAACACACAAGCTTTATCCTAAATATACAGAAATTTTCCTT